CCTGCCCTCGGCCTCGGCGGCCGCTGTCAACGCCGACTTCATGAGCAACCTGAGCCTGCTGGAGGAGCCCGGGGACTTCCCGCAGGCGCCCGGCTCCGTGGCGGCGGCCGCAGCGGCGGCCGCAGCGGTGGCGGCGGCGGCGGCTGCAGCTGCCGCCACCGGGGGTCTGTGCGGGGACTTCCAGAACCCGGAGCCGGGCTGCCTGCACTCGGCGCCGCCGCAGCCTCCGCCGCCCGGGCCGCTGTCTCAGCACCCGCCGGTGCCCCCAGCCGCCACCGGGCCGCTCGCCGGGCAGCCGCGAAAGAGCAGCTCGTCTCGCCGCAACGCGTGGGGCAACCTGTCCTACGCCGACCTCATCACCAAGGCCATCGAGAGCTCAGCGGAAAAGCGGCTCACGCTGTCGCAGATCTACGAGTGGATGGTCAAGAGCGTGCCGTACTTCAAGGATAAGGGTGACAGCAACAGCTCGGCGGGCTGGAAGGTGAGTGGCCTCGGGGCGCAAGGCTGGACACGAGCGGGGGTGGGGCGTGGGGACCCCTGCCTCCACCCGAGGTTGTGGTGGGGCACATGACGGGGCGACTGTGGAAGTTTGCTTGCCCTGAAAGTGCAGGGCATGCGGGCGGCGCGTGCAGAGAGCGCGCGAGAAGTGGCAGACCTGAGTGGTGGGCTTGCCTGGGACCTGTCGGGGGACAGGAATAAGTGTGTGAGCGCGCTCAAGTGAGAGTTCGAGCGGGACGGGGAAGGGGGCTCACTTGGGAATTAGGAGTGAAAAAAGTACGGTAAGAAGTGGACATCAGAGAAGGCAGAGAAGTTCGCCGGTGAGGGGAGGAGGGGGTTTACTAGGGTCTGCTCCCCCGCGACTGGAGGGGACTCGTGCCACTACTCCTTTTCCTCCAGGACCTTGTGGGGTGAGGGCGGCCCCTCCCGGTCTCCTGCGGTGCGCGTCCCACCAGCTTTGGCCTGCGCAGCAGAGCAGTTTCCGCCGCGCTGGGCGGAGGAGGGCGCGGCGGGGCTCTTCGGGGCCCCGCCGCCGGAGCACGGAGCTGTAGGTGGAGGGGACAGACAGGTCGCCAGCCGGCCCCTGGGGGCAGGCAGCGCAGTTTTTGGAGGCCGGTGTGCATTTTGCTTTGTTTTGATTTTATCCGAAGTGGCCTCGAGTGCAGGGGGCCTCGAGCCGAGCCGGAGGTAGTGCATCCGACACGTGCGAAGAGGCGGCCACCGCTTGCGGAGGGCCGGCGCTGGGCCGCGCGGGGAGAGCTAAAGTTCAAGTGTGACCCCTGGCGGAGGCGGGGGCGGGAGCAGGAGCTGCGACGGCGAGGGAGGGGCCGCAGGCGTAGGAAGAGAGCGCCTTTAAAGGGCCAGCGCGCCGGGGCGGTGAGCGGCTCCCGGCCGGCCGCGGGGCTGCGAGGCCAGCGCTTCTCTGCGCGAGGAAATGCCCCCAAACTTGGGCCTCGCCCATGGTCCGAGGCCTTTAATTAGGCATGGAGAGGCTGCTCTGCGTGACGAGAGTTGGAGATTTGTGTACCTTCTCTCTCGCTTTGCCACCTCAGTGTTACCGAGCGTGGAAGTACAGACGAGGCAGGGGTCTTTGTGACAAGTGTTTCGGGGAGTGGTAGAGGTGCGCATGAAAGGAATGTGTGGGGACGTCCTGCTTCAATAGAGGACTGTAGATGAGGCGCCTCTGGTTCTTTTTTGGTTTTCAGGGAGAGGGGACTCAGAGGTTCTCAGGGCCGGGACAGGTACTTCCCTACTTGCGGGTCGAAAAGACCCCGGGGGCTCTCAGGACAGGCTGTGGGCAGGCTTACCGGGGGTCGGTTCGCCGTGTGGCCTTCTGAAGCTGACGGTTTCTCACTGTCACAGGTGGAGGGATCGGTGCGAAAGTTAAGTTGAGAACTTCTTCCTCATCCCTTACCCTGACTGTATAGCATAATAAAGATTGATCTTTGCTGCGCAGTTGGTTACACCACGGTGGTTTTACATACGCTGACATGTTTGTGGTTAATGTGTGTCCAAAAAGGTTAAGTTACTCATATCTTACTGAAGTTCCTGGAGGAGGAGCCAGGATTTTATTTTTTCCAACGTGTGTTTTAGAGTAAAAGTACTACTTACAATCTCATTCCTAGGCATTACGTGCAGTTTTGCTGTTTCAAAAAGCTTGGTATGTATTCTTTTAAGTCACAAAATCCAGATCCAGTTTTACTTAACATTGGGGTTTAAGTACTTGCTCATCTGTCAACCCTGCTTGAGATATTTATTATAAAGTATTTGCCATTAAAAAAAAATTTTTTTTTTTTGACATTGAAAGTACCGTGTGTACTTACACCATACTTTTATGTCCTTGGAAATGGATACAATCTACTTCAGTTTGCTGGAGTGCTTTTCTTCAAAGATGGAGAAGGGCAGTGTTTGGGGATTATAGTTAGTTTTGCCTCTCATAGGGCCTTAAATCAGAGTATTCTTCTTAAACTAGGAGCATAACCTAGACTTTTAGATTAAGTGCTTTAAAAAAATAGATATTAAGGCCAAATCAAACCCCCCAACTTTTTTTATTAGGTTCTTTCTTGTTATAATTTTTTTAACCTAAATGGAATTATAATTTTTTCTTTAAAAATATACTTACTGTAGCTAGAAGATCCATGAAGTGATAGTAAGAATTGTTACTATCTGTTCAGAATTGGAGGCCCAGTGACAGCTCCAGTGGGAACCAAGTGGGGCTTTGGGAGGGAGCAGGCTGCTGTTCTCAAGTGAGTCAATGTTTCACGTGTAATGAGAGTCCGTTGGTGCAAGTCAGATTACAGCAAGTGCATTTTCACTTTGAGTAAAAGGATATTTTAAGAAGAAAAGAAACAACCTTAAGTATTCTAACTCATAACTAGTCTTCTGGTTAGAGTTTTCATAAAAATGAGTTACTTGTTAAAACCAAGTTTCTCAGATTTGAAAGACTCATCTGTTTTTAAAGATTCATAAAAGGGACACATTTTACTATGACGTTTAGCTTAAAAAAGAAATCGAATTCTAAAATGCAAATCAACCCAAACCTAACTTTTAGAACTGAGGAGAGGCTGGTTTGGAACTAAATATTTCCTGTGATTTACTACTGGGAATTAGACTGAATCTTTAATTAAATACAGTTTCTTGTGCTTTAACTTCCTGGGGCCTGCCAGAGATTTTGTAAGTCATTTGCATAGGACAGAATAATTGAAAAGCTGATAAAGAGTTCATAAGCTTCTAGTTCCTTAGACACTGGTTGTATTTGTGGGATGTGCATTTTGTGTTTGTAGGGATGGTATGTTACATCTGTTTTATACTTGCTTTGTTCTTGGCCATAACTGTCATAAGGTTACACTCAAAGTGGAAGCCAAGACTTTTGGAAAACCCGGGATCTTTTAAACCATGTACAGTATTTATAAATAGTGAAACTTCATTTCCATGACCTGTCCACCTCCCCTGCCCTCCCACCCGCAGAAAGCTTTCTAGAGCTTGGGAAGTAGTATTGTGAGCTCTGGTTCCACTTCCCCTCCCCCCTTTTAATGGCAGTTTTAAGTTGACTCTTGTTTTTTGTTTTGACATTATTTGGAACACCTGGGTTAAAAGAATGCTTCAACAGTAAGACTTGATACTTAAAGAAAATTTTAAATTGTTTTATATATCTCAGATATTTGGTTTGGAATGACTTTTTTTAATTTGGCCTATGAACTGACAGTACTTTTTTTAAAATTTTTTTTATTTTAAAATTCACATTTTGGAGGTGAGTGATTTAAATCCTACAGAGTCCTTGGCACGGGGATGACAGATGTTTTCTTGCTGCATACTCACATTTGACTTAAAGAATGGCCTCTTGGTGAGGCTAATTTCAGTTTGTTACTGAAATTACCTTAAAGAAAACCTTGTTTTACAGTGGAGTGAAAATTTCCGAATATGTATTTGGGGAAGGGAGCACGAGGTAAGAGAATTAAAAATGAGTAGGGGAATTAATGCAGCAAAATTGATAAGCATATTTGCTGAAGACTGAAAAAGGTGTGTGAGACTAATGCAACAGTTCATATGGCTGGTACTTTTTTCCCAGAAATTCCAAAATCGGTGTCGGTGTCAAGTATGAATCCCTTCATTGGTGATTATCAGAATTTTATTTTTATTTTACCTATGTTTTTGTGGCTGGTCCTTGGGAGAGATGTGGCCAGAGTAGGGACTTCTATTTTTGTCTCCCCCCCGCCTCCCGCTCCCGATTTTATTTTCTCAGAGTCGCAAATATTTGGATACTGGAAAGAAGACATTTTTAATTCTTATGTAAATTTTAAAAAAAGGTTAAAGTACATTGAGACCCTCTCTCCCCTGCCCCACACTTATTTAGAAGCTATTACATTGGCAATGGGCACAAATATGGCTAGATACATATACTGCACAGAGAATCTTTTAAGGGGACATATAAACTGGGAGGTGGGGATGGAATACTCAGTGGTGAGTTAGAATCCCTGATAGCCTGAAAGTGTTTTGCCTGTTTTTGTGCGTTTCCATCCGAGCTCCCTGAACTACTATTCTGTATGATTTTCTAAGACAGCAGCTGTCTATATTTGCCTGGAATTTCTTTGGAGAGCCTGAATTATTTGCATTTTTCTAGAACACTCTGCCCTTGGAAACTACCCAGTACCCTGGCATCATGAGAATTTAATCGGCTGTTTTTTTTTTCCTCCCCCCTGTATGTGCCATAACTTTGGGGCTTCCTGGAATCCTTTTGGAGAAGCACTATAAACCCAGTGGTGATTGGAGAGAGCAAAGGAGTGTTTAGTTGTACAGAGCATTGGAACTTTGAGTAGAGTGGATCTAGCCTTGGTTCTTTCAACATTTGCCTTGGCCTTCATAATACAACTTGTAGAGACTTGCCCTTGGCCCAGCCTGGAGGACCTCCTTTGGGTCAGATAACTACCTTTTCTTAGTGTGTACAAGATTCTGAAGAGGTATGGGTTCCTTCTCAGTTGTCAGAGGATTGGATGAACTTGGAAAGTTTATATTTTGATGTCTAAGGGGTGAGGGCTTGTGTTCCAATGAATATGCTGTATATAAGTGCACTAAAGTTTGGAAGAATTCACCCTTTTTGCTAAATTCCTGATAAGGACTAACAGAACTCATGTCAGTGGTGCAGAAATTCTTTGCAGAGAATTACTGCTTGTTATCTGTGGTCTCTAAGGAACATATGAAATGTGAAAATGGATTTTTATATATTAGTGATTTCACATGGTTCAGGTTTTTAATAAACCACCCTCTTCACGGCATCCCACTTTATACCACTCAGTCTGCGTATGGTTTATAAATTTGTGGGGTAAGCACTGCAATTACTGAGACTTGGTTTGAATTATTCTTGCCACTTGGAAGGCTTTTTTGGGGGGATGCTTTACTCCCCCCTCTTTTTCTTTTTTATTCATCCTCGTATAGCTTTGACATAAGCTATTAAAAAGAGCCAACTAGTTTTGATATTATGCCAAATAGGATGAGAAAGCTAAATTTGCAGTCCCTTTCCAGTTTATTATGTAGTGAATTTTCACCTTAATGCATTACTTTAAATAAGGACAGAAATTCAACAAGTGTCCTTTATTTCAGGCTGTATTTATTACAGGGAAAAAAAAAAGTGAGGTGGAGCTGTGTGATGAGCTTCTGTAGCCCCCAGTTTTTGGTTTCTGATGATCGCTGAAGCTTGCCATCTTTATGGTCAGAGGTCACTAAGGCTGACAGGGGAGTGTCCCAAGTCTTCTCCTTCTGCAGTTTTCCATTGACCACCCAGTCCATTCTGACTGGGCACTCAGCTGTATGGACAGTCTGCTTCTCTTCCAGTTGGTTCACTTATATATCATTTTTTTCTTCTATGCTCAAACCTAAAGATGCTGCAGGACAAGTTGCGGACTTTTTCTCTCTCTTTTTTTTTTTTCCTAGATCATTTAACCCCTCTATTGTCCTGGTCTCCAGTTACTTAAAGGCCATAAATGTCCCACTTTCACCTCAAATTGAACACATTTAAACCCAAGCATGCTGTATTTCCTCTTACTCTGAGATGAGGTTCCCATCTTGAGTTTCCTGATTTGGTTAGTGGTCTAGTTAGTTAACCATTTACCTGGTTTTCAGACTTGGACGTCCTCTTCAGCCACACTCTTTTCCTGCTGTTCAGTGCCCGGAGTCTCTCAGCTCTTCTTTCTCAGTCTGCTGAGACGTTGACTTCCTGACCCCTACCTGTTGTAGGTTAGGTGTCTTCTTGAAGTTCTAAACCATCGTGTCCCCAGGACTTGGATCATCTTGTGCCTTTACTGGAGGTTTTGAAAATTTTGCTTAGTATGCAAAGCTCACACATCTGTTTGCCAACTTCCAGTCTTGGTTTCTGCCTGAAGGCATTTTTGCCTTCTCTTAGTGAATGCCTGGTGATCTCTTAATTTCATGCTGCTTTGTATTATAACTTAACTTTAATGCCTGCAGTTATATTGTAAATATATGGTTGGGAAAAAGGTTTTCTTGAACTATGGATCTTTTCTATTTTAGCTTTCTGTGTTTTCACAGTGTGATAATGTTTATATTAGTGTAACTATAAAGATCTGTGATGGTTTTATTTTCTGGAGATGGTCACAGTATCTTATTTTTTCTCCATTTGTTGAATGATTATTGGATTATTGGTATAACGAATGTTTACAGGATGTTGTATTAGATGTATCTGAATGATAGAAAAATGATCCAAACATGGATCCTGTCGGGAGATGAGGTATGACAAGTAAATAACTGTATAATACACTGTAGAAAGGGTTATGTGCCTTCAAGAAAAATTGAGTTCTGTGTTGGCTATTGAGATGGACTTTGAAAATGGGATGTTAGTCTCCCAAGATTTCATTATAAAATTTTCAAATGTTAAGCAAGTTGAAAGAATTCTCCATTGAATACCTGTATACCTGCCATCTAGTTTCTATGCCTAACATTTTGTTGTACTTGCTTCACTGTGTATCTGTAGTTGGTACATCCATTTTTCTATCCATCATATTATTATGCTTTTAAAGGTTCCATTTATTTATTAGAGAGAGCACAAGAAGAGGGAGAAGCAAGCTTGCCAGTGAGTGGGGAGCCCGATGTGGGGCTCAGTCCCAGGTCTCTGGGACCATGACCTGAGCTGAAGGCAAACACTTAGCTGACGGAGCCACCTGGGTGCTTCCCATCAGATTATTTTTTAAATTGATTTTCTGAATGATGGTTTGGCATTCATAAAGGCATGCAAATAGGGGAACATCAGTTTCTCTGAGTGATAACGTAAAACCTAGGAAGTTTGAAAAAATATAGGTAGACTATTGTCAGATTGAAATTGGAATTGGTATATAGTATGAAAATAATGTTACAGAGGTGCCTGGGTGGCTCAGTCATTAAGTGTCTGCCTTTGGCTCAGGTCGTGATCCCAGAGTCCTGGGATCCAGCCGCCCATCCGAGCCCTGCATTGGGCTCTCTGCTCAGCAGGAAGCCTGCTTCTCCCTCGCCCACTCCCCCTGCTTGTGTTCCCTCTCTCACCGAGTCTTCTATCAAATAAATAAATAAAATCTTTAAAAAAATCCTCTTAAAAGTTATAGATTAAAATTTCCTATGAAATTATATTTTTTAATAAAATAAGAAATGATGAAAATATGGTCACATTTTTAGTTCTTAAAATTCAGTTTCTTTGGGGGCACCTGGGTGGCTCAGTCGTTAAGTGTCTGTTTCAGCTCGGGTCATGACTCCAGAGCACTGGGATCAAGCCCTGCATCTGGCTCCCTGCTTAGAAGGAAGCCTGCTTCTCCCTCTCCCGCTCCCCCTGTTTTGTGTTCCTTCTCTTGCTGTGTCTATCTTTGTCAAATAAATAAATAAAAACTTTTAAAAAATCCAATTTCTTAGAGGTGCTCATATAAATATAGAAATCATGGAATGCAAATAAAGCCAAGGTACTACATTTGGTTTAAAAGTCATACATAGAATTTGGTGATGGAACACATTAAATAATTAATTTAATATGAATAGTAGGCATGGGGCTCCTGGATGGTACAGTCAGTTAAGTGTCTGACTCTTGGTTTTTTTTTTTTTTTTTAAATATTTTATTTATTTATTTGACAGTGAGAGAGATCACGAGAGGGGGAACACAAGCAGGGCGTCAGGGCGAGGGAGAAGCAGACTCAAACGGTGGAGCAGGGAGCTCAGCGCCAGGCTCAATCCCAGGATCTTGGATCACTACCTGAGACAAAGACGCTTAACAACTGAGCCACCCAGGTGCCCCAAGTGTCTGACTCTTGAAATAGACTCTTGGTTTCAGCGGGGTTCATAATCTGAGGAGAAATCTTAGGCTCTCAGGATCGTGTCTGTCTGGCTCTGTGCTCAGAGCGAGTCTGTTTGGGATTCTCTTCTTCTGTACTCCTTCCCTGTGCCCCCCACTAAAAAAATAAGAAAAGTATATGAATAGTAGCATTTACCTAATATTTAGCTTTTTGTTTGGTCTGCTCTTTAAAACGAATATTTAGGGGTTGCCTGGCTGCCTCAGTATGGTGGAGCATGTAATTCTTGATCTCATGGTGGTGAATTTGAGCCCCACCTTGGGGGTAGAGTTTATTTAATACAAAAAAACAAAAACCTGACCTTCATACTTTTGTGTCCTGGGAGAGTGATTTCAACAAGGAAAGCTCATTGTTGTTTGTTTTATCTTTTTAAAAATATTTTATTTACTTATTAGAGAGAGTGAGAGAGAGAAGTCGAGCAGTGGCAAAGGCAGAGGGAGAAGCAGATTCCCAGGTCCTGGGATCATGACTGGAGCCAAAGGCAGATGCCCAGCTGATGGAGCCAACTAGGCATACCGCACGCCCCCATCCCTTTTTTTAAAAGAT